TGATTGTATTTTGTCTTTTCCTGATAGCTAATGTTGTTGAATATCTTTTCACAACATTGTTTAGATGGCAACTAATGGAGTTATCATCTCTTCATTTCATGTTACGTGTGTGTGTGTGTGTGTGGAGAGAGAGAGAGAGAGAGAGAGAGAGAGAGAGAGACGGGGTCTCACTGTGTTGCTCAGGTTGGTTTTGAAATCCTGCCCTTAAGTGATCCTCCCACCTTGGCCTTCCAGAGCACTGGAATTACAGGCACAATCTACTGTGCCTAGTCTTTTCATATCTTTTCTAATTGATTTGGTTCCTTCTTTACTGTTGAGTTCTGAGAACTCTTTTTATATTCTAGATGCAAGTCGTTTGTCAGATACATGATTCGCAAGTATTTTTTCTTACCCTTAGCTTGTCTTTTCATCCTCCTAATAAGGCCTTTGCAAACTCAAAGTTCTGTGTTTTCATGAGGTGCATTTTATCAGTTTCCTATTTTGGAACGTGCTTCTTGGTGCCAAGGTTAAGAATTCCTCACCTAGCCCTAGTTTCCAAAGATTTCTTCTGTTTGTTTTCCAAAAGTTTTATAGCTTCAGGTAAATATACTAGAAATTAGTAACAAAGATACTGGAGAAAACGATCCCTCAAAGTCTGGAAATTTAACAAAACATTAAAAAAAAACTATGGGCAAAAAAGTCACAAGGAAAACTAAATGTGTTTACTTGAGTGGAAAGAAAATTACATGTTATCTTGTTGAATGCAGATAAGACATTGCTGAGGGGAATTTGACAGTTTTATAGCACGAATCATTTATATTAGAAAAAGAAGTTTTAAATCAATGAGTAAAGCTTATGCTTTAAGAAACTAGAAAAAGACTAAAATGGGAAGTTAGTAAATGAAATAAAACAATATAATTAAGGGCAGAAATCAATTTTAAAAAAAGGTAAACACTAATGAAATAAAAGCCTTGTTCATGGGGGGAATCAGGAAAATTGATAAAAAGGAATACATCATCATCTAATAGAATTTATCCCAGAAATACAAGGTAGATTCTAACATTTCAAAATCAATCTGTTTAATTAACCATTAATAACAGATTAAAAATAAACAAAAATGATCAACTATATCAGAGGTTGGCACACTTTTTATATAAGGTCTCAGATATGGATCACATACATCTATGGATCACATACAGTTTCTGTCACATATTCATCTTCTGTTTTTTTTTTCTTAACCGTTTAAATATGTAAAAACTTTTTAGCTCACAGATTGTACAGAAACAGAATACAAGCCAGATTTGGCCATGGAACATAGCTTGCTGACCAAGGATCTAAATAGAAGCAGAAAAATCATTTGACAAAATAGCTATTTATGATTTAAAAATTCATGATATGAAATTATCATGAATATCTATTCATGAGAAAAATTCTCAGCAAACTAAGAATAATAAAAAACTTCCTCAGATAGTTGAAGGGCATTCAACATTTTCACTATGCCTTGTGGTGAAGAGGAGGGGTGGGCCATGGCTTTTTTCTTAGTGTTTGTGCAGAGTAGTGCAGGTATATATGGTGAAAATGTTTCTGTCCTGCTTGGTCGCTCATTTCCCAACACTTTGGCTGGAAAGAATGAGGTTTTCTTGGGGTCTCTCTTGTCTGTGACCATTGGCATGTCTGGTTTGCAGGCCGAGAGCCCAAGGCCTGGTGATGTAAGAAGTTAAAAAAAACAAAGCCAAAAAGCTAGAGAACTCATCATTAGCTCATTCCTGGATCTCAGGTCCCTGGCCAGTTTTCTTCTTTTCCCCACTTTTCAGAATCATCTGTTAGCTGCATTATATGTTTTGTATAGTGGGTGCTGTTTTCTTTTGGTAATAGAATAGAATATGCTTATTCCATCTTTTCAAAATCGAGGGGTTTCAGATAGCTTTTTTTTTTGAGTCGAGTTCTCACTGTTGCTCAGGTTGGTATGCAGTGGCATCATCATGGCTCACTGCAGCCTCAACCCCCTGGGCTTAGTGATCCTTCAGCCTTAGCCTCCCTAGTAGCCGGGACTGCAGGCATGTGCTACCATGCTCAGTTTCTTTTTTGTTTTTCTGTAGAGATGAGGTCTTACTCTTGAACTCCTGGGCTCAAGCAATTCTTCTGTGTTGGCCTCCCAAAGTACTGTTATTACAGGAATAAGCTGCCTTTCCTGGCTTCAGGATAGCTTTTAAAATATATATATAACTAGTTCTCACTGTCATTTGTTTTTTAAGCCAAAGGATTTTCTTTGGGCAACTTCTGTTATTTTATTAGCTTTTGAATAGTATATTAACATAAATATTTATTGCTCTTCCCCCTCCTCCGTGCGTTAGTTCCGGTCGCAAAGGAGACACTGCTGCAGTTGCCACCACATCAGGATTTCTGGCTCTCTTCTCTTTGCCTTAAATTCGGGTGTGTTTTATGAATAATCAAAAGCAGCAGAAGCCAACGCTATCAGGCCAGTGTTTTAAAATCAGAAAAAGAGATGAAAAAGAGAGGTTTGACCCTACTCAGTTTCAAGACTGTATTATTCAAGGCTTAACTGAAACTGGTACTGATTTGGAAGCAGTAGCTAAGTTTCTTGATGCTTCTGGAACAAAACTTGATTACCGCCGATATGCAGAAACTCTCTTTGACATTCTGGTGGCCGGTGGAATGCTGGCCCCAGGTGGTACACTGGCAGATGACATGATGCGTACAGATGTCTGTATGTTTGCAGCACAAGAAGACCTAGAGACCATGCAAGCATTTGCTCAGGTTTTTAACAAGTTAATCAGGCGCTACAAATACCTGGAGAAAGGTTTTGAAGATGAAGTAAAAAAACTGCTGCTGTTCTTGAAGGGTTTTTCTGAGTCAGAGAGGAACAAACTGGCTATGTTGACTGGTATTCTTCTGGCTAATGGGATACTGAATGCATCCATTCTTAACAGCCTTTACAATGAGAATCCGGTTAAAGAAGGGGGGTTTCAGCGGCTTTTGCTGTAAAGCTCTTCAAGTCATGGATAAATGAAAAAGACATCAATGCGGTAGCTGCAAGCCTTTGGAAAGTCAGCATGGACAACAGACTGATGGAACTGTCTCCTGCCAATAAGCAAAGCATTGAACACGTCACAAAGTATTTTACTGAGGCAGGCTTGAAAGAGCTTTCAGAGTATGTTCGGAATCGGCAAACTATAGGTGCACGGAAGGAGCTCCAGAAAGAGCTTCAGGAACAGATGTCCCGCGGGTATCCGTTCAAGGATATAATTTTATATGTCAAGGCGGAAATGAAAAAAACAACATCCCGGAACCGGTGGTCATTGGAACCATCTGGTCAAGTGTCATGAGCACTGTGGAGTGGAACAAAAAAGAGGCGCTTGTAGCAGAGCCAGCCGTCAAGCACTTGACGCAATACAGCCCTCTACTTGCTGCCTTTACTACTCAAGGTCAGTCTGAGCTGACTGTTACTGAAGATTCAGGAGTATTGCTATGACAACATTCACTTCATGAAAGCCTTCCAGAAGATAGTGGTGCTTTTTTATAAAGCTGAGGTCCTGAGTGAAGAGCCCATTCTGAAGTGGTATAAGGATGCGCATGTTGCAAAAGGGAAAAGCGTCTTCCTTGAGCAAATGAAAAAGTTTGTAGAGTGGCTCAGAAATGCCGAAGAGAAATCTGGGTCCGAAGCTGAAGAGGGTGACTGAATTTTGAAACTGCACCCTCAGTAAAGCAAACAGGAGTTGTAGATACAATGTCATGTCTCATGTGTCCTGGTTCTTACAACTTCCTACCTCCCTATATCAAGCATGGATATAAGGGCTTTCATGGCAGATTTTATTTGAACTATTTCCATGGTTACTGGAGATGTTGGATTTAGTTTCTGAAACCATGTTCGAAGTAGCTACAGGAGCTATAGATTTGAATCTAATGTTGCATTCGTCTTTCAGTTATCTTCTACCTCCTGTATTTTCTACTGTAATAATGTAATTTAAGGCCTTCCACAATGAACAGTTCACTTTATTCCCTGGGTTTTCTATAAACAGTTTTCAAGATATGATTTGGTTAAAAATAATTTGTTAAAAAAATTCTGTTTGCAAATTAAACTTTATAAGTATCCAAAGTCTCAAAAGGCAATGATTTGTGTGATAATATGGTCGGCCTAGAGCCCTCCTCATCAATGAAAAACTCATCAGCAGTCATTGGATTCATTCCTGTGAATCCTGAGTATTTGGGCCATTACTTGCATATTAACATTTTCTTGCATTTCTTACCCCAGATGTCCTTGCTTGCTCTCTGGTTTCCATTCTTAGTGAAGCCAGAAGTGTGGGAAATCATATGTGCAGTGGCAGTGGGAAGAGCTGAGCTTTTTCCCCCACTGAGAGCCTTTTGCATTCACTTTGTATCTTTCCAGCAAAACAAATGGGTATTCTTTACAAGTACAACCATTTGAAAATGTATCTTAGAAAAGTCTTGTCATTTAGAGTATTTTTCGCTCAGGATACACATGGATTGATAGAAAAGGAACTTGTAAAGGAGTTCGAGTAAAGTAAATGACCATACTAAATACGAAACCCAGTAAAAATTGAAAATTTTAACAGCATGTTCTCACTGGGAATCTAGATACGATTTAGATTGCCATTGGCTTGGAGTATTTGTCATGAAGGATGAAGTGCAGTGATAAATACACAATCCCACTTGGTCGTACTGGCCTGGCTTTGTCCTGTGAACGTGTTCAGTGATGACTCAAGAATCTTGCTATTAACGTACCGTAGTTGCTATTTTTTAATTGCCATGAGCCAAATATTTCTTCTATACAAGTGATCATTTATTTTTAATGGCTGCCTTTTAGTTTTCATCTTTCCTTTCTTGCTGCTACCCATCTAGGTATATAGTCTTTAGGAGGGAAAAATGTAGCCACATTTTTTAATGGAAAGACTTTGTGTCAAAAGTGAGCATTTTGAAGGTTTATTTGGTGAAAGAAACTAGCCTGAAATAAGGTCACCAGAGACTGAGTGGAAACTGCTGCTTTTGAAGGTACCATTCTTTGGAAGCAAGAGTTTCGTGTTTAAAAGTTAATCTTGAGGGAATAACATGTAATATAATTTGAAATAAAAGTATAATGAACTTAAGAAGAACATTATAACATAAAATTGTGAATGGGGGGAATTTGTTAAATGAATAACTTTGATAAAGTTTTCATGCACATGCAAAATGTATTCACTAGATTTCTACCTAGTAACCTGCTTTTACTTTGCAATTTGTAGCCCTCAAAAGACTTTAAAAAAAATAAAGTCCATCCTTACAAAAAAAAAAATTTATTGTTAAAATTTCACTTTAGTTTTGAGCAGCTCTTTTTAGTCTTATCAAGTTTTCAGCCTGTATGGATGTAAATTGCTTCCATGTTTTTTCTGAGTACCCGATAAGGGCTGGTTACATGGATTGTCAACTCTATTTTTCTTTTTTTGTTGTTGTTTCTCAGGCTGGAGTGCAGTGGCAAGATCATGGCTCACTGCAGAATTGACCTCCTCTGCTCATGCCATCCTTCCACCTCGGCCTCCCAAGTGGTTGGGACTACAGGCACATACCACCAGGCCCAACTAATTTTTACATTTTTTTTTTTTTTGTAAAAACAAGGTCTCACTGTGTTGTCTAGGCTGGTCTCGAGATCCTGGGCCCGAGCAATCCTCTTGCCTTGGCCTTCCAAGGCCAAGGATTACAGGCATGCTGGCATTATAGCTGAGCCACCGTTCCTGGGCTGTCAACTCATTTTTTTTTTTTTTTTTTGAGTTAGAGTCTCACTCTGTCGCCCAGAGTCCCGGCCACCAAGCCTCAATCTGCTGGGCTCCAGCGATCCTTCCACCTCAGCATTCCAAGTAGCTGGAACTACAGGTGCGTGCTAATTTTTGATTTATTGTAGAGATGAGGTCTCTCCAAGTTGCCCAGGCAGGTCTCGATCCCGCGGGCTCAGGCAATCCGCTCACCTCAGCCTCCCAAAGTGCTGGGATTACAGACTGAGCCACCGAACCTGGCTGTCAACTCATTTTTTTAAGCTCCAATGATTTATTCTGCTTTATTTAAAATTTTTTAAGGAAGAAATATTTGAGAGTTTATGTTGGAACATAGAGATTGTGAGCTGGAAAGCACAGTTTGAATTAGGCTAGATTTAATTTCTTGATTATTACCCATCCTCGTGTTTTTTAGACCCTTGGGAATAGTTGATATTCTTTTTCTCTGCCTGGAGACTTACAAGATTGCTGCTATAGCTCTGAAAGCTTAGTGTCTGTGCTGTCTGTAAAATTAATAAGGTAAAATAATATATAGTGTATGGATTTGTGAATAATGTCTTGACTGTGTTAATATTTGCCTTCTGTCCTGCAAAGAGAGTTTAATAATAAAAAAGAGATTTCAGACCAAGAGAAATTATACCAAGATGTTTGCAGTTGGATGGTGGAATTTGAAAGATTATTAACATTTTAATTGTTTTTTAGTTGTCTTTGGTAAGCATAAACTTTGAAATATCAAAAGAAATATGTGTTTACATCTCTTAACATTTTATTTAAGGATAATGCCTTAAAAACCAGTATTTTTTTCCCCACATCTTTTTATTGCTCAAAGGTGGGAAAGGTTTTTATTCCTGGACTGCCAGCTCCTTCTCTGACGATGTCCAACACAATCCCTCACCCCAGCACTCCACTCGACGGCGTCAGTACTCCTAAGCCTCTTAGTAAACTCCTTGGGTCATTGGAAGAGGAATTAGGTATTGTCAAAATTTAACACCGTTTCTAAAAAGTTTGGGCAGATACTAGTTCTTTCTGTGGTTAACTTAATTTTAGTTAATACTTTTAGAATAAATTGTTTCAAACCCACATGATTAAGTTGACATACATCTACTTCCCTTGTGATGTGTGTGGTGCTTTTTGAAGGTACTGGAATGATGAAAATGGCTAATTCTTTTCCATCTAGGGACTCTTATAGTTTACTTGGGTGAATTGATGTACTGTCTGCATAAGAAATTATAATTTAAGGTAGACTTAAGACTTACAGCGAGGAACAGATAATACCATGGTGGACTGACTGATGGGAAGACACATCCTGATGGTATGATATTGCACAGTCAAAGCCTCATTTCTGGGAGGCACATCAGACTTGGTTTGGACCTTGAGGATAAATAGAGTATCTGTAAAGAGACATTCAGGGCAAGGAGGAATCACAAAAGAACAGGCAAGCAGACCAGAGAATGAAGAATTTCTTTTATAGTCTTGGCTGGGCACAGTGGTTGAAGCCTATAATCCCAGCACTTTGGGAGGCCGAGGTGAGGGGATTGCCTGAGCCTATGGGTTTGAGGACAGCCTGGACAATTTGGTGAGATCTCATCTCTACAATTAATCAAAAAATTAGCTGGGCATGGTATCGTGTGCCCATAGTTCCAGCTACTTGAAAGGCTGAGGCGGGAGGATCACCTGAGCCCAGCAGGTTCACGCTGGGGTGGCTGTGAGCATGCCACTGCAAGCCAGCCTGGGCGATGGAGTGAAACTCCAACTAAAAAATAAAAAAAATAGAATTAGTTACAGTCTTGCTCTGTTGCCCAGGCTGGAGTGTAGTGGTGTGATCATGGTTTACTGCAACCTCCAAACTCCTTGTCTTAAACAATGTTCCTGCCATAGCCTCCCAAGTGGCTGGAATTTTGGGCATGAGCCACCACATGCAGCAGAACTTATTTTTAAATGCATATTGTTCCTTTATCTCCTAGCACATAAGTAATAACTCAATATGTCTGTGGAGTGAATACTTTAAAAAGTAGAAGTATTTGTTGAATGAGGCAATACAGAGAGTGGAATAACAATAGCAACAACAACTTTTTGAGCATTTTTTATGTGCTAGTCGCTGATCTAAGTGCTTTATCAGTATTAATTGTGGCTTTAGAGCATATTTATTGAGAAGATACTATCATCCTTGTTTTACAAATGCAGTGGAGGACACTTGACTAAAATCATATAGCTAATAAGTGGTTAGAGTTGGGATTTATACTCTTACTAATGTGTTCTTAAAGGAAGAAAGGATGTAAAGGTGGTTTTCTTCTGAATGTAGCTGCCAGGACATACAAGCTTTTGAGGAAGGAGTTGTGTGCATTAGGATCTGTGTTTTAGAGAGGTGTACCTTAGGATTAAAGATAAAGAGACCAGCTAGACTCCAGGTGTGATTGTCTGTGTCAATATCAGAGGTATAAAGAGGGTCTGAGCAAGACAGTATGAGTGGAAAGGAGAGTGACGTGAGAGACCTTGAGAGGTGGAAATGACAGAGTTTGTCAGCTGACTGGTTTTACGCTGCTGTGCTGGGGAGAGGTAATGTGGAGCAAGTGCCCATACTTAACAAGGATAAAAGTGGTCTGTATTTAAAGCATGTCTGAATATAGGTGTTTAGGGACAGTTCATAGGGAAGATTAGTGCTGGCGGTTAATTGTCAGGGCTCCGATTATGTTTTTACACATGTACAACATTGAACTTTTTCCCTTCAAGGCAGCATACTTGTAGAACATTCAAAAGAGGAACTGGAGACTGGGTGCGGTGGTTCATGCCTATAATCCCAGCACTTTGGGAGGCCCAGGTGAGAGGATTGCCTAAGCTTTGGGGGTTCGAGACCAGCCTGGGCAACTTGGCGAGACCTCATCTCTACAATCAATCAAGAAAAATTAGCTGGGCCTGGTGGTGTACACCTATAGTTCCAGTTACTTGGAAGACTAAGTCCAGCAGGCCGAGGCTGCTGTGGCTGTGAGTGTGCCACTGCACTCCGCCCCAGGTGAGAGTGAGACTCCAACTCAAAAAGAAAAAAAAAAAGGTGGGGGAGGGGGAACTGGAGAAGTATCAGGGTGTTTCATGATTTGGAAGAATTTCTTTTATAATGGAAAACGATTTCCAACTTTATAAGAATTTCATAAACCCAGAAGCAGTTAGTGCCATTTTGCTGACTGCAAGGTCACAGGGAGATAATGGTCTAAGACACTGATGGCTTTCCCACTTCTCTGGCTGATTATGCTACTGTACATACAACCAGGACCAGTGGAGCTGAATTTTTCCTGACAACTTTTGAAGTAGAAGCTGGCATCCGAGAGATAGATCTTAGGATTGATTGGCTGACAGTGTTGACAAAATACTTATTTAGAGATGGTCTACAAATTGAAGGAGTACAAAAAGAGTCAGTAGTCATGACTGAAGATTTAAAATTTGAGATAGTAACTAAGATAATTTAAAATTT